CGGATTAATCCGACGCGCAGAACGCGGGTCGGAAGGGGGTTTAAAGGGGAATAAAAATCCCCAACTCCTTCTTCGGTTCCAGCTTTCTTCCCCCTCTTCATTTCGGTTCTCTTCTTGAGTTCTAACCCCTCAAGAGCTCCTCTTCCTCCAGAATTCCAACCGAATCAAAGCTCCTCCTCCTTTAAAACCATCAGCTCCTTCCTCTCTTCTTCCCATTTGGATTCGAGCAAAGGAGGAGATTCGGATCTAGGGTTTCGGCCATTTGAGTTCTTCTTCCCCCTTTCAAGCTTCAAGAACTTGGGTAAGTCTTTTCTAATGGCTTTGATTCCCTTACATTGACTCTAATTAGTTCTTCATGCTTTGATTCAATGTCTTGAAACCCTAGTTCTTGGATTTGGGCAAAAACCGAATTTTGAACTTGAGCTTTGAATGTGGCCGATTTTTTTTGAGTTTGATTCTTGAATTTGTGTAAAAAAACTGAAGTTGTTGATTAGAACTCTTTGTTAGCCGAAATTTCCACTGTCCATGGCCAAAATTTACTGTTCATGGCCGAATTCTTGGACTGTTCATGGCCGAAATTTTCTGCTGATCGTGAATATGATTGACTTCGTAATTCTGGGTTGATGATGGCCGAGTGAGCCCCTTTGTCGCGCCTGTACATGATCGAGTTTGCATTTGGTTGTGGTTATGTGCATAACTTGATGATTAACATATTAATTTGATCCCTTGGCATCAATTGTGTATGAGGGCTAAACTCTTTTGCTTGATTCTGGCGCTCGTGTTTGTATTTGATTGAGAATGAGGTTGATGACTGAATGCGTGGTCGAACGGCTCCTCGAACCTATGTGTGGCTGAAAATTCTTGTAGAGGTCTTTGAGCTATTCATGGCTGAATTCATATATGTGCTTGAACTTTGTATATAATTCGAACTCATATATAATTGAACTCATGTATATGATCGACTTCAAACTTTGTATATAGCCAAGCTCTTGTATATGATTGAACTCTTATGTATGCCTTGGGTTCAAACATGTGTAAGGTCGAGAATTAACTTGAATTCAAACTTATATAAAGCCAAGTTCTCGTGTATGGTTGAACTCTTATATTCCTTGAATCCAAACTTGTATGTAGCTCGAGGATTTGAACCCGAACCTGTATATGGTTGAACTCGTGTGTGACCGAACACTTTGTTGAGCTCTTGGTCGATGACTTGCACTTGAATTTAATTATTGGCCGAGGATTTTTTGTAATCTTGTATATGCCTTGAATTCGAGTCAATCTTGTATATGGAGCTTGTGAATCTGCATGTTGACATGATCTAGGCCTTATATTTGACTTTGTGTCACTTAACTTGAACCGAGAATGTCGTTTAGGTTTAATTGGACCCTTAATTGGAAAATTCCATTTTGTAGAATTTCAACTAAAGATTCGCAATTTCCCTTTTTTAGGCTTTGATTCATGTATCTCGATTCTTGATCTGACTGAGCTGTTGATCTTTATTGCAGATTAGCTATGTCGACGCTTTAGACCGGCTGGAGCGCGAATTCCGACGGTTACAAGAGTTGAAGACTGCTGGTAGCTCAACGTACACAGCCATTTGGATGGAATCTCGTCTACAAGCATGGCACGACACTCGGGCTTCGGCTGGACTTGAGATTCAAACGCACCAAAGTCGGGTGGATCAAATGGAGGCCTTGGCTATCTTGGGGATGGCGAAGGGTGACTTGGAGCGTTCACGAGTTGTGATATCCGGAAAATTGGAGCTCTCGAAACAGAAGTTAGCCAAGATCCAACAAGAGGCTGCGAAAACATTATCCCTCACCGAGGAATCCTTCAAGGTTGCATTGCAGTGTGAGCTTGAGCGAACTTATACAGAGGTCCCACACTTAACGGGAAGTTCCTGGAGAATTTTTACATGTAATATTCTTAAGGATAACCTGGTCATGTAACTCACTATGATGTTAGACCCAGTTTCGCGAAGGAAGCTGGGGGTGGATGATTCATGTAACGGGAAGTTCCCGAAAGAATTTTTACATGTAATTTTCTTAGGGATAACCCGATCATTACAAATAAAGTGATAAACACTAAACCCACCGTGATTTCCGAACACTCTTTTGCTGAGACAAGATTCGATCATTTCGTGGGATTAATTTTCTCTCACAAAACTCTCATTGGTGTTTGATGACTCACAGTCTCCCACCATAAAATCCCCCACCGATCAGACTAATTGACGGTGGGACCACCAAAACTCCTTTCGTTTGAACCCACTCAAACTTTTGATGCGTCTGTGCACTTAACATTGACGAATGTCAAACCTCCTTGTGTTAAGTATTTGTCACTCAACACCAAGAATCCCCATTGAGTAATCGGTACAAGTCAACACTCCCACTGTGATTTGTACTCCAACTCCCATTTTTTTACTTGGTCAAACCTTCTTACAGTTAGGACCATAACCAAAATCCCCTCTCGATTCCTTCAATGAACGAGAGGTCCACAAATCGAGTGATCAAACCTTCCTACAGTTAGGACCACAACCATAATCTCCTCTCGATTCCTTCCATGAACGAGAGGTCCACTTTCAAATCGAGTGATCAAACCTTCCTACAGTTAGGGTCATCTCAAACTCCCGCATGGTCAAACCTTCCTACAGTTAGGACCAAAACCACAATTCACTCTCGATAAACGAGAAACCCACATTTAGTTCGGTAATTAAACCTTTCAACAGTTAGGATTATCTGAATCTTTTCAATTCTCGGAGTGGAGATCCCACTCTTAGTTTCATCTTTCCGGATTCTGGGGGTGGAGATCCCACCTCGAGTCTCCTTTCCAACTGGAGATAGAATATAAAATTCTTCCTCTTCAGCTTTGGGAGATAGAATATAAAATTCTTCCTCTCCCGCATCGGGTTCGTCTTTGCCCCAAGAGAAGACAACACTTTTTCAACTCTCAAAATCCGTGCCTCAAAGGTACGGGGAATTTTATCCCGAATCCTAAGTAGGGATAAGTCAACGCCAAACACGCGTCGCCGGTTTAGTCTTTCACCGATTGAAAAAGACACCAGAATCCAGTCTGGGGTATTTTATCCCGAAACCTAAGTAGGGATAAGTCAGCGCTTAACCTGCGTTGATGGGTGGTTCGTTCCCGTAAAAACGACCGAGTCTACGTATTCAGCATCGTAGCAACAAAAATCCATGCCTTTTATGCATGGGGAATTTTATCCCGAATCCTAAGCAGGGATAAGTCAACGCCTAACACGCGTTGCCGGTTAGTTCTTTCCCCTAAAAAGGACAAAAGTCCACATATTCGACATTGTGGCAGGTCGTTATTCATAACGCCAAAATCCGTGCTTCACACGCGCGGGGAATTTTATCCCGAATCCTAAGAAGGGATAAGTCAACGCCTAAC